GAAACGGACTATAAAAAATATTTTGGGTGATTGGTTAAAGTAAGGTTGATTCCAAACCTCTGCCACTCCATTAATCTGAAGTAGTTTCTCAGCTGGCCAAAATGAAACTGCTTTCAAAGCCCGAAAATCAAAAGAAGGGCCTTCTTTCTTCTGTTCCTTTCATGTTTTATCACATTTTGCAACAGCAAACACAACTGTTAGCGCACCTTGGAGGAGGAATGGTTCTTTGGTTAATAAGTGCAGAAAGTTACCTTTGAAACTTTGAAACTCATGAAAGTTACCTTTGTGATTTTTGGGAAATAATGTTTTTCTCTGTCAGAACAGTCTGTGTACTGTTTGTCAACTTCTTCATAGTTTCCAGTAGCCTAAGGTACAGATTCAGGTTATGATATATGTGATATTGCAAAATGGCAGATGCTGAAAGATCACACATTCTGCTTAGTTGTGGGAAAAGTTAGATTTTGGCTGTTTTCCTAGAATGTTTGTTTTTTGGAGCACTCCAGGACAATAGCTGATTCTCACATAAGGGATGAATTTCACCTTTTGCTTTCCGATGCCTGATGCTAGAATTTATATTTCATCTATGGAATGATAGTTCATGAGTAGTGACAGCTGTCACTTAATTTTATTATCCTTTCATGCAATTTTAGCTAGAATATTATTTGTGAAAATTGCGAATTTTCTATTGTTGTATTTTCATTTCTGTATTTTCCATTTCCTGTTCCTATCAGAACATTTATTAATAATTTCTTTATAACAGATAAGCTAAAAGGTCAATTGATAACTGCAGAGCAAGGGGACAAAGGTGTACTTCCAAGTACTTATTTTTAGTGCTGTAGCAGCTAAGCTTTCAGTCGGGGAAGAGTAGCCCATGGTGTTCAGCCCTGTAGAACCACAGCATATCAAATTCAATCTCATAGCTGTTTGAACAAAAATGTGGATTCCCTTATTGCATTGTTCTTTCCTCTTTTAGAGGACTCTTCCAGGAATCACATTATAACATGCACTTTCTGGTACCATAGAATTTTCTAAGTAATGTAGAGATGTTCTAGACAGAAATTAAATCTCCACTGTAAAAGGAATGATAAGAGTTATATAGGGTCAGGAGAAAAGAATCCAAGGGTTGATTTTTTTTCAGTGACACTGTGTGAGCTTAGCACACCCCCATCTGCCTGTCTTGTCCGCTACCGCCGCCTACTGTAGTGCTGATGGCTGAGAGGTGCTTTTGTCTGAATCCTTTAAGCTCAGAAACCAGAGTGAAACTTCAAAATCATATCAACTTAATTAACAACTAAACTGTGAATTGGAGGAAACATAGGCATGCATTTCTTTTTTCTGATTTTGCCGCAGGGATAGAAACCAAGAGATGAGGAAGTCCATGGGGCTCAGAGATAGTAGCAGCCTCTTCAAATATTACAGCTAAACGTACCAGAACTTAGCTATTAAAGCTAATTTTTGCCAGCTTTTGCATTTACATTGACTTAAATCTAAGTAGAATGTACTGACTAGCCAAAGTGTACAGATTTGCACTTATTCTTATGAAGAGTTGAATAGTTCCAAACTAAATTACTTTATTCTAGTGTGTGCATGCTGTATTACAGACATTGTTTTATGCCTCCCCTCCGTAGTTGCTTCCTCTCTCTCTCTCTCTCCCCGCTCCATGTGCACACAATGTCTTTCCCTTCACTCATTGACTGACAAAGGTCCTTGTAACCCTTTCTTGTGCAATGGAGAGTTATAAGTGATTGGCATAACTGTAAATAGCAATCAAATTTGGCTGTTGGTTAAATTTTTTTTCAGATATGTTGGCTTCACTGCAAGACTTCTTGCTTTTTTACACACAGGCGTTCTGGACTTCATGCTTAATCTATAATGAAATTCTTTTTCTGTTAGCCCTTCTGATAGGTAAGAAGGACAAAAGTTTTATGATTAATTGCTGTGTTACCACTTTATGTAAGTAGCAGATTTTCCTTGGCAAAAACATATTAGAAATATTGGGAGATACACAGATCTAAGACTATCATGACGCTCAATATCTCACAACCTAAATTGATATGATTGAATCCCACACCTGTGGTGCAAAAGAAGGTACCAGAAGGTAGCATTTTTGCAGTTTCTTGGTATGTCTAGTATACTCCACGTGACACAGCACAAGACCTTGGCAAAACTTATGGTACTGTACTGCAAAAAATGTTCTTGAGTGTAATTACCAGATGGAAATTGGAGCCATATTGAAAGATCACTTCTCTTTCCTTCTGTCACTCCTAACATGATTAGGTTTCCATATATTTGTAGGACTGAAGTACTCTAGTGTGGATAAATAGTCTCAATTTCCCTACTCCTTTATTCCTTCTCTTATGGGTGTGACCTACAAAGTAGAGGTTTACTACTGTCACCCGTTAAAAAACGTCTTTTTCTTCAGCCACCCCAGAAGCAAATAGTATGTCTGAGCTATTAAGAAAATTTTGTTTATCTGGCTCTGGGTGAAGATTTTTAGAGAAGAAGCTGAATAAGAAGCAAAATATCCATTTATGAATGTTTTCTGGGGAATTGATGGTCCTCTGGGATTGATATTTAGGTCATTAAATTCCTGTGACTCTTGAAGATCTCATAAAGTTCACAGAATCGACATAAAACACATCTTTTATTCACTTCAAAAATAAAAAAATAGCTATTCTCATCCGGTCAATAGTCTTAGATCAACTGATATGGAATGCAGAACAGATGGACTGATTTATCCAAAAAAGCTGTCAACTGTTTCAGATATATTAATGCTTGTGTTTATATCAGCTAAACTAATTTGCATCACATAAACACATGTATGGAGAGATGAAAACAATATTTTTTTTAATTATGTGTCTGCTAATGTTCAGAATTCAGTGTCTCAAATTTTGTTTACTTATTTTCTGCCAGTCTCTACTTAATCATAACTTCTTATGGTAGATTCTAGTACACAGCTCTTTTGGCTTTGTACAGGCATTGCTATCTCTAAAGTGTGTTCTGATTCTGTCAGAGAATTAGACGTAAATGTTTGCATGTATCTGAAGTGTATCAGGTCAGTTTTAAAAATTATAGATGCACTAGCCTGTTTTTGAACTATTCCAGGCCATTTTTACAGGCAACGCTTCATACATATAGGGGGTAGAGAGAAGGTTACCCCCTAAAGGTTACCCACTGGGTTAACTGCTGCTATTCCTAAATAGCAGTAGAGTTCTAATTTGTGTTAGTAATTAACTGAAAATCAGATGTATGAAAGGTCTACCTGAGGCTCTCTGAAGGGGAAATTTTTGTTTGTTTGGTTGGTTGGTTGGTTTTTTTTTTTTTTTTTTTTTACACTTTATTAGTTCTGAAATGAGATTGGGTTGTACAGTCCTTCTTCTTCTGAATGTTGGCTGGTAATAGTGCAATTGGTTGAAAGCAAGAGTATATTTGGTAAAGCCAGTTGCTATGTTACACCAAAATAATAATAATAGCTAGAGTAATTGAATAGGAATATTTAAAACATCTTTCTGCCTACAAGTTCTGTGCCTGCATGAATGCATTTCAGGCTTTATATGTAACTTTGGATACAAATGATGAAACTCATTTCACATAATTTTGCAGAATAGGCTATTTTAGGATACAGTTCATTTCACCCTGAAGCAGATGCCTTAAAATTTCTTCTATCTAACAAGCCACACATGCAACATAAACATAGTGGATGAAGTATGAGTGTGCAAGGCCTAAAAATGACTAGTTCATACTGCTTAGAGGCTCAAAACAAATTTCTTTCACTTGAGTCATTACAAATGCCATTCAGAAATATTGTTGACCATTTACGAACTACAGAAGCTGAAAATTATGGTAATAGATGGTGGAGACAGGAACTATGGACTATTTATATACTCACTAATGTGATTGTTCTCAGTACCAAGAAAAATCAACAGTTTGGTAGTAGCTGCTAAGTGTAGTCCAACTTTTCAGCTTACACAACAAATTTTGAATTTTAATTTCAGTTATTTTTATACGTCCTAAGTTGTTCAGTACAATAAATATCTCTTCTCTTTGCTCTTACCATAGTGTAATGTTGCTGGAGGTTCAAGTGCCAGGTTGAACTAAAAAAAAAAAAAAAAAAAAATAACTTTTGTTCATAATGAATTTTTTATTCCCAGAAAAAATCACGTTTATATGCAGTTGTTTTTTTGTTTCTTGTAAAAGTTGGTTATGTGCCTTACCTTCGGGAACCAAAAAAGTAAAATAAACCCTGCTGTCATTTTCTCCCTGCACCCGTTTTTAAGATTTCTGAACAAATGATAACTTTATTTTTATCACAGGGGAAGCATGTTATTGTCTCAATGTTCATGTACTACACTAATAGTTCACAGAGAATGGCAGACTGCCCAGGAAAGCACAGGATGGTAGTGATAGCTAGATAGTTCTGTAATCTTTTTGCTGAAAGGACTATTCTTTTTTTGTCAGTGTTGGGAACAAGAGAATAACCATGCCGTGACAAAGTGCTCAGTGAACTTTGACATGTTACATCAGCTGTAAATATGTCATATGCGGTCTTTTTGCTAATCTAATTCTCTTTTCCAAATAATCTCTGCTGTCGACTACATTTCAAATACAGACATGTAGCGATCTACTGCTTGTTAGATTAAATAAAGTAAGAATCTTTTTTTAAATAGGTCTTGCAGTCAAAACATGCTTTCTTTTAGAAGCCTACTTTTATAGAGTTTTTCTTTCATTTTTTCCTTTCTGTTTTTTTTTTTTACTCATCTATCTCTGAAAATCTCAGCCTAGGAACCTTGATGACATTGCAAATTTGGTTAGATATCATTTTTTTTTCTTAAAAAAAAATTAATATGTGTTCCAGTTATGTGCCATTATAAAACATTTCTGTTCATATATACTGGGAAGTGTCATAATGCTGTATTCCCAGCAGTGGTGAAAGTTCTTGGCATAACTATAGATAAGGTCTCGGGGTCTCAGTTGTATTTTTTTCTGTTCTTATTTAAAAGGAGCTCCAAAATCTGCAGCATTCCTACAGCAAACTAAAAAAGGAGTGTCAAGAAAAAGTAATGGAACTGGTGTATGCAAACAAAAAAGTAGAAGAGCATGAAACTGAAGTTAAAATATTGAGAATTCGTGTTGAAGACTTAGAAAGGGAGCTGAACCAGTCAGAAGATGAGGTAGGTCATATCTGAAGTGACTAGTATAATATTTTGTCAGAAGCAATTGACTTGCACATCAAAAAGTAATACTTACAACATTGCAAAATGATAATATATATTGTAAATAATGGCTCAAGAATTATACTCTGAATTTAGACAAGGATCAGTTAATCCACTATATATACATATCGTGTTCTTTTGTAAGGTATGTCTAAATATCTTCCTTCCTCCCTCCCTCCCTCCCTCCCTCTCTCTCCCTCCTTTTCTCTGTGTATATATTTTTAGACAGATATACACATTCTAACCTGCCTCTGTGTGTGTGTGTGTGTGTATATATAAATATTAATATATACATACATATATACCCACACACATTTCTAGATTTTTTATTATGTTTTGTAAAATGTCAGTGAGACCATGACAGGACAATTTGCAAAATACCATATTGTGTGATAGTAAAACAATAATATATATTTTTAAAAGTGAATAATTTAGTTTCAACACTTCTATTAGTACAGATTATAAGAAGTTGATTATTACTCAGTTCCCAGGATGATTTACTATGAAGAGGATTGAAGGAGTCATAAATTGAATTACTAATGAGATATGAATTAAACTAAAATTTTGCATATGGAAAACGGTACTGGGCAGAAGGAATAGACCCTTTTAAATTAACTTTAAATTCACATCATTTCTAGCAGTTTGTCCAAATTCAGGTTTAAGATCGTCATCAATGATTAAAGTTCCATAGCGGAACTGGAGCGGAGTGTTTATTTCCTACTAATTTTCCTGGTACTTAGTAACTGAGTCGTCTCCTGATTGTCTTCCTGGGATAATAAGTGGGAGAAAGGACAAATGTCTCCAGTAGTGGAGTAATATATTACTTTACTGCTTTACAAAAGCTCTTGTTTAAAAGGGAGATGGACATACCTTACATTTTTAGAGAAATTATCAAATTTATACTTATGTTCTCTTCCCCTAATGCAGCTTATCAGTGAATTAACAAAAGTATGAAGATCCTCTTTTTAGCTTAAACCTGAGTGGTTGGAATAAATGGAAAAGACTAAATGCTAATATATTCTTCTTCAGATACCACTTAGCTACAGTATGTTCAATGTTAACATACATTGCACAAAAGAAGTGTGCTTGTAACACTACAAGTCATATATATTTAACACACCACAGTAGTAGTTTGTTGTTTATTCTGTTCCGTTGCCAGGAAATTATCCCGTGCGTTCAGGTGAAATGGGAAATTTGATTATTTTTATTCTGAAACCCACAGGAAGACAGAGAGTTCTCAGTCTTTCTGACTTTGCTCTTTTTTATTTTGTTACATAATTCATATCAGTTTTCACTGGCACACTTAGGAGTTCATTTACAGAGCTGCAGCCTAACATAGCAGATTTTGAAGGGATATATCAATATATGGTAGACCTCCAGTTAATGCTCAGTCTGATTTATGCAGATTAATGCAGCAATCTGAGGTGCTTTCAGATTTTCGCATTATTTTATGTACTGTTTAGGATATGACTTACTGAACTGATGGAGATGTTTCTGGGGTGAGATGGATTCCAGATGTTATCCTCAGTGAGTGGATTATAAACTACTCTCTACCGTTTCAAAGATGAAGTGTTTCATTTTCTTTAGATCTGTTGTGCTTCTTAAGTGAAGTAAATGTGTAGTAACAGTATGTAGCACTTAAGTTTTATCTGTGGAATTATGTGCGTGTACAGCTTTAGATATTGCTGGAAATAGTAATATTGCCTTGTTTGATAAAATATCTGTGGGCAAAGCTCATGATCGTAATATCTTCCTGTACAATGGAACATGTTTTCTCTTGTTCCTATGTTTGTAAGTGTTTAGCTTCTAGTCATGTGGTGAAAAAGGTGACAATTATATAAAGAGCTGTAGACGACCTTCTTTACGATGTAGTTAAGCGAACTATATTTTTCTCAGCAGAGATGAGAAACATGCTCCTTTTAAGATTTAGATCAAATATTTCCTGCTTTATAAAACTGTACCTGTGCGGCTAGAGTACATGCTGAACAAGATGTAAGAAATAGCAATTATTTACAAACAGCATGTTTAGCCCCAAAACGTTATACAGAGCTGGTTAGAAAAGAAAGGAATTTTTCTGCAGAACACTATTTGATTCTCTCAAGAAAATAATATCTGTTTTGTTCACAATTCTGTTTTATAACGCTGCAGGGGTGTTGCAGGATACTGCTTCATTAGCTCATTTTTTTCCATTGGCCTGAGTTCTCATTTAGTTTCTGCTCTCCATGAAAACTTGTGGTCTCTCCTCTTAATGAGTAAATAATAGGGACATGTTATTTATGTAATTATTTCAGAAATTTGCATGGCTCCACCAATTTTTTATATGAAATATTTTGTAGATATTTTTACTTAAAAAATTTAAGAAAGTTGTGTCAAGGGTAATGTGCAACCTATCACATGTATTTTCTGACGATAATATGCAGGTAAGGATGCAGGAAGACTTGTGCTTGCCTGCAGTTGCTAAAGAGATATAAATATTTCAAAGATAGGAAACACTTTTAAATATCATCTTCAGTGAGTTTAATTTCACTGAAGAACACAACTCTTCTTTATACTTAATTTGAAAACTGGCTGATGGGATGGTAGGAAAAAGAGAAGAAGGAAGTACACCACAGGGAAAGTGGGTAAAAATACATTTAAAAATGGAAACATTTGTCTTCCATATGTTACTAAAAATTAACTGCTAATTAAAAAAGTCAGATTGCTAACATCATAAATGAATGGTCAGAGTAAAGTTATGTCAGTGTTCATTTTTAGTATTAGCACACAGAGAACTTAGTGTTTTAGTACAAAATGCAAATTAAATTTATATGAATTCCAATAAAAATGTCCTCTTATTTTACCTCTCCTGTGGGTATAGCAGAAATTAACTCACTGAACTATTTCATTGTTAATAAAAGTCTGGTATTAAATAGAGTACGTTTAAGATTCCTGGAAGAGCCTAGAACAAAAGCCTACCAGGAAAAATAAATAGTAGAGAAATAAACTTCACAAATTAGCAAATGTAAAATATTTTCCTGAAAGTAGCATAGTTAAAACACTTGCATAGAATTCAGTTAGGATTGAACAAGTTCCCTGTCTTTCCTTCCCGCTGACTGGATAGTGACATGATTTTTGATTATTGTTTTCCCTTGGGAAAGATACCGAAAGAGAAAGAAAGAAAGATATTTTTGACTGAGATGATGCTGCAGAGTTTATCCTCTGTCTCTGCAGAATGTTTACCATTCCTATAAATAAAAGAGCAGCTCTTAGGTTATATTTTTGCTGCATTTTACATTACTTGAATAAAAGAAAGCTTCTGTGAGTATATATGCCCAAATGATAAATAGATTATAGTTCTTCTGTGAGTGCTCTAGGATCGTTGTTCTTACTCACATCTCACTCCATCATATCTGTCTGAGTGAGTCCTTCATTATGCTCTGTATGACCAAAAGGAGGACAGTCCCAGATGTGAGAGAGACAATGGTCTTTGTGGTTAAGACAAATTATTATATAGATCCCCTGGTGCTCCTTTCCTAAAAATAAAAAAGTAATTAGCACCTACTTATAATAAACCAGAAGCAGAGCTCCTTCTTTAAATGTAGCTAATTGTCTATAAAAGAGAGAGTAGGTGGGGGTGAGCAAATCTTAGTGTAGTTTTACTCCCCAAAATAATGAATTTAATCATGCTATTTTTGATATATGAGATAAAATACAGATGGATTATTTCACTCATTAAAAAAATGGGTATTGGTACAGCAACACATGCATTCAGAAGTTCACCGAAGAGCAACAGAAACTTGTAGCTACTGAAATGTATTTTACATACCTTAAAAATAAAAATTCTATATTTTTCATCAGTAAAAAGTGCTTCTCCCCTACTGTTATGCAATCTTTTTTTTTCAGTAATAACATCTGAAATGTTTGCTAGACTTTGTTCTAAAAAGTCCTTTAGTATTACTAAGGTGCTTGTACTTTGTGATCATCTCTGAAAATAAAACATTTAATTCCAAGAAATTAAGTCATTTCAGAAGGGAAACCGCTACTAAGCAACTGCTCAAGGGGATGGGAGGTCAAACTAGGTGATATTGGCTGCCCTTTATGCCCTTACATTCTGGTTCATCTCTTCCTTTATTCTTGTACGAAACAGTGCTTGTCCCACTGATAAGAAATGGACTAGGCTGTCATTCAGGGTGGTTCTAGAGCATCATCTCCAGTGCTAACAGGTGTGACCTCATTATTAGCTCTTTTTTTTTTTTTTTGATGATCGGTTGCAGGAAAGGGAGGAATTACACCTGCAAAAATCATTGTATTTTTCAAAGACTTTTGCAGAATGTGATAAGATGAACCTGGAGGGATTATGTGCAGACATCTCCTCCAGCATTACTTCCAGGGAATCATATTTTCCTTTCCTCTTCGCTGATGGCCTACTTATATCTGAGAAATCAATTACTTAGTTTAATTGAAGGATTTGGGTTTGTAAAGGGTATTTTGTTGAAAATCCTTGTTGGAATGTACTGGACTCCATGTTAATGACTGAACTGAGGAAATTCTGAAGTAATTCAAATATTTGCTTTCAACAGTAGCAAAGACTGTTTAAGCTTTAAAGATTCGTTCTTGTTGTTGTTTTTGTTTAATTCTCTGAATTACATTTTCACTTTTGGGAAAAACTTTCAACTCTGTTTCAAAGCATGCAGACTACCCTAAGGAAAAAAAAAAATGCATTTTGAAAAGCGTGTCCCTCCTTCTTCAACAGTTCTTGAAATGTCTTATATTCAGACTTACTTCAAAGTGAAATTTTCGCATAAATAGAATTGCTCATTTTCATTAATTATTACAATATTTTTACCCTTAGCTCTTTAATTGTAAAAAAATAACCATATATTTTCTTTATGTTATAGTTAATTTTCATTTTAACACAGTAACCAAGTCTGTGCACGTACTAACAGCTACAGCAGAGGTCTGTAGAGCAGGCATGATAT